ATTGGGACAACTGTAAAAGAATCACAATGGAAAAAAAAAAGAAACTTAAAAAGAAAAGAATACAATTCAAGGGTGGATGTGCCTTTCTGGACATTTCACATAAATGGAATCACACACTGTGAGGACTTTTCTGTCTGGCTTCTCTCACTGAGCACCATGTGTCCAAGGTCCATCCACGTAGCGAGTGTCAGAGCTTCACTCTGTCTCATGACTGAGTGGATGGTAGCAATGGAAGGTCTGTTTCCCCTTCTTCCTACTTGCCTTACTCTCTAATTTTCAACAATGTGTATTTGCCAGTTTCAAGTCTCTGTAGCTGATGGATGAGGCTGGCTGGATGTTCCCAACCCCTTCCCTGAAGCTGTAAAAATCATCTGGTAATCTCTACCTCCGCCTCTGGGGTCTCAAGCCCCCCTGCTCACCCAACAGACTGGCTTGGTTCTGAGTCATTATGTCGGAGCCCTTGCTGTTTACTGCCGGTGACGCCCAGCTCTCCAGATGGAGGCCCGGCCCCACCCACGCTCCACCACAGCCTGAGACATGAAGCAGTGATGGGAACTCGTGGTCCAGAAACTGAGGAAGGCAGGCCACGCTTCGACTAGGGTGGGTTTTCTCAGGAGCTGCTGGGTACTGGGTTTGAGTATTTGGCTGAAGGAACCTCCATCCAGAGGAAATTAAACATCTGCCCCCTGTCCCCTGCTCTTGCGGCCAGTGGGCCCTTGAGGGTGGATGTCATCCATTCGCTGGTGGTGGTCATGGGGACAGTGATTTGCAGGTTGGTAAAAATCAATGGAACCCCAGATGGGAGAGGCCACTTGCTCTAACATCTAGTTCCTCAAAGAGGAACAGTTCCTAGGGAGAAGGCAAGTCAATACTCTGTGAAGTCCTTGTTTGTTCCCACAATTCCTGTTGGCCCAGCCTCCACTCTGGAGAAGAGAAGCACATGAGACTAATGAAACCCAAGAGGGGGTGTCTCTCTCCCTGGTCCCAGAGGGGCCGGCTGTTAAGTGAGGTCTCACATCTCTGGCAATACCTGGTATCTGTCCTGCTTATGTGGCTTCAAACCCCATGGCTGCAGAATACAGGAGAGAAAATGCCTTTCAGTAGGAAGAGGAGACCTGGAGCCCCAAACACAATGCCCTTAGCAGGAGTCTGAAAAGAAACCACACTGAGCTCATGACACCTCAGCATAGACAGTCCATACATATAACTGCTGGACAAGCACCCACTGCCCAAAAAGAGAATGAGGAAACCTGGAAATTGGTGGACAGGAGGTCTCAACAAGGGCTGACTCTCCCCCAGAGGACACTGGGCCCCATCTGGGCAGACCTATGGTTGTCACAACTGGGGGTGCTCCTGGCATTGCATGGGGGCCAGGGATGCTGCTCAACCCCCACAGTGCCCAGGATGGCCCTGAACGTTCATGGTGGTGAGGAGGAACCTTAGACTGGACCAACAAGCCAGAGCCTGAGGGACTGGGGACATGCCAAGCGCAGAGTCCCACACACAGTGCTCTTGAATATCTTTTCCCATTTCATGTTAAGGCAGCTTCAAGAAGGGGCGTCCCCTTTTATAGACAGAAAAGCTCAGGGTGGTCCAAAGGTTGCAGACCGTGACAGGGGCAGGCCCAACGTCCCCAGGCGCCCTGAGGCAGGGACGCAATGGGTGAGCGCCAAGCAGGGCAGCCCGGCAGGTGCAGGCAGCCATGCGTGTTCCTCCCACGCGCAGACGGGTAACGAGCACTAATGCTGGCAGAGTGGCTCAGAAAGGAAACCATCCGAGACAGAAGCACCACCCCACCTTGACAATGAACCAAGCTGGTCAGCATTCTGTGTGTGCTGCAGGGAGAGGGCACAGAAAGAACACCCTGGGCAGCCTCCCGCTGTGCCCGGGGCCCAGAAACGCTCCCTCGGAGGGGCTCTGGTGACAGGCTGTAAGCTCTTTTCCAGGATTTTACAGCCTGCGGAACCTGGAAGCCCCTCTGTCCTGCAGTCAGGAGGTTGGGTGAGTGATGGCCTGCAGGTGGTGGTTGTGGCATCAGCACTGCCATATCCAGCTGGGTGACCACGGCTACTGGCACCCTCTCAGACTCACCCGGGACCTCCCAAGGCAGTGGCCTCGGCTCTGGAAGTGCAGGAGGTGACTCCTCAGCCCTAGGCGGCTGGAGCCAGGGCTGGCAGAAAAGGCCCACACCAAGTGGCAACTACTGTCCACTTTATGGGCCAGACAGCCTCTGCTGCAACTAGTCAACTCCACCAATGCAGGTGAAAGCAGCCGCGGACAACAGGTCAACATACTGGTAGGGCTGGGCACCCAAAAAACCTTTATTTATGAAGGTGAAATTTGAGTTTCATCTAATTGCCATGTTGCATGTTCTTTTGACCCTCCTCCCAACTCTTTAAAAATGTAAAAATCATTCTATTTGCAGACTGTACAAAAATAGTCAGCCTGCCAGTTTGTGACCCTGCTCTGGAACACGGTACCTGAAACTCACACAGGCCAAGTGTGAGAGTCTGGCTTTTAATGTGTCAGCATGAGGTAGAAGGACAGAAGAGGGCCAAAGGAGGGCAGGAGCTTCAAGAAGGTAACAAACCAACAAGTAAACTAGTCCCTAAAATCTGGAAAAGTGGAAATTCTCCCCTGGGTTATGTTCTGATGAAAGTGCAAGAAGAAACTGGCCCCAAAACGCAGATGGACTGGGGCAGCTTGGGGTAGCTTCCAGGAAAGGGAGTCCTGGGAGCCTTCCTGCTCTAAACTCTGGCCGAGGACCTGCAGGTCTCTGAGTGCTGGCTGACCTGAAGGACTGCCCAGCCATCCCACGGTCCTGCGCCTGATACATCTCAGCTTGTTATCTGCAAGGCCAGGCACCTCAGCAGTCTCTGCAGTCTGGACTACTAAGGAGGGCAGCAGAGCTCGCAAGGGTCAGGAACTGCTGCCCCACTTCAGCCCCTCAAAGCCTGAGAGGTGACATCCAGGACTGCCACACATGGATGCCTAGTAGCCAATGGTCACTCCCTGGCTGAACCCCTTGCCTTCCTGCTGCAGGGGCCTGGGCAGTCAAGCCAGCTCTTCGAGGGAGTCCCACGTGATGCCCGGATGCCCGTCTTGAACCCTAGCTTTACTCTGAGCACCACACTCCACTTGTTCAGTAATTTCACGCTACGCCGCCTGGCTATGTAAGCGTGGAGGCCCAATCTAAGGCTCTGTACTTTCCAAATGTCACTTGTTTGTGAACACAAGCAGAACCCAAAATAGCTTTTAATATCTGGGCAGTCCCCACTGGCCTGCTCAGTTTCAGCTCTGACAGCCACTCCAGGACAAGCCTGGCCCTGGGCTCACAGCTCCATCTCAGTCCCATTGCGGCAGGAGGGCGCAGCACATGCAGGCTCTGAGGATTCTCTCTGCCTTGAGTCTTACCATCCATGGTGCTCCTGCCTAATGCAAACAACAAAACCACACGCCCCGGGTATTTACTCCTTCAGATCAAACAGGCGAATCCTGACGTTCACATCTCCTCTTTTAGTGACAATCAGAGTCTCTGCCTGTTCCCACCACGATTTCCTGAATTAAGTATAAAAAGCCCAATGCTTTTAAGCTTTTAAATCCTGGGAGCACCTCTCCCATCTTCCTTGCTACAAAACCCATTTCCTTTTCTAAACTGTGCTGAAATAGTAGAGCCAGAGGAAAGAGATAATTAGAGAAATAAAGGCTAGCCAATTCGTCTAGAAGAGCACTGCCCCACAGAAATACAATGCAAGCCACCTTTGTAATCTTAATGTTTCTAGTCACCACATTCAAAAAGTAAAAACAAACAGGTGACATTCACTTCATGGTATAATTTGTATAACCAAGCTATGCAAAAATATCAGGCTACATGGCCAATATAATTGGATTTTTGGTGAGTATGTTATGTTCTTTATCACACCTGGATCTTAGACACTGTGTGTTTACACTCACAACTCATCTCCATGCAACAGAGCCACTTCTCAAGGCCATGACACCTGCGTGTAGCCAGTGGCCACCATATTGAATATCACGCGGTCTAAGCCCCTTTGTAAAGGTCTGAGGTCTAGAAAATGCTACATGAGTTGGGGTCTGGGTTCCAGGTGTACTCCCTCCCCAGTGACCCCACCATCTGTTCTGACCTTGGGTCCTGACTGGGAACAAGGCAGATAGGCCGGAGGCCAGCCTGATGGGAGAAGTCTTCCTCCGCAGCAGATGAGACAGGCATCACCGGCCACAATGGCAGTCCTAGGAGGAGGGCCCTGGTACTGGCCACGGAGAAAGGGCTGGGTCTCCTGCTGGCCCGACAGTCCTCTTTCCTGCTGCTTCCCCCAAGGCTCTATCATCCCCCACCTGACTGGGTAGGCCTGCAGGTCATGAGCCCTGTGTATATCCTGTCACCTGGAGCTCCAAAGCCACCAGGGGTAGATAAGCAAGAGGAAGGAGACGAGGCAGGCACGACCCAGCCCCACTCCCAACAGCTCCACAGACTTGCCACAGCACCCTCCACGCTGTCAATCGAAACCACAAAGCCAGGTGCACTCAGAGCTGGGGGAATTTGAGAGCAAGCACTCAGTTCAGATGCCACATCTTTTGGCTGATAATAGCCCTTGGAGACCAGGAATGGTAAATTACGGGGGAAAAAAATCAAAGGCGTCTCCTTACTGTTCGGTATCCTCCTGGGATGGCGACATAGCAGGCGGCCCTCGGGCCCAGAGAGCGCAGGGTCTGCCATGCCGGGGTTCCCCCAGGAGATGGGGGGCCCCTGACCCCAGGCCTGCCCAGGCCCTATCTACCTCACATACGCCCACCCCACTCAGGCCTTGTCCCCGTTCACCCAGGTGACAAATGCTCTGGGGACAAGTTCACTGAGATCCCAGAAACAAATCCAGAAGGAAAGTTCAGGCCCCCAGCCACTGCAGTGGCCTGGGTCCAAGAGAGCCACCTGCGAGGGGCCAGCCCCCTTTTCAGAGTCTTTTACTGTGTCTGAGGGCACTTACCTGAGTGGCCACCTTGCCGTAATCAATCCACCGCAGGGTAGCAAAATTGGTCGATTCTGCACAGTTGAATCCATGATTGAAGCCAGCATGGTAGCCATAGGGAAAGGTGATCATGAACTCCCCCGCCTCCTGCGTGATCTGAGGAAGGAAAGTCCGACAGGTGAGGGGAGGCTGACAGGAGAGGCCGACACCCAGAATTAGAAGGAAAAGGAGCCTGAGTGTGGCTCGTGGGCCAGAAGCCACTCCTGGCCCAGGGCAGGGGCAGGCTGGTGGAAAAGGTTACCTGGAGCCATCAAGGAACACAGAAAGGGGATGCGGACTCAAGGAGTTCCCAAGACGTGCCAGGGAGCCCTGACTTCAAAAAGCCAATGGTCTGCCAAGTGAAAGGTGACTCTACCTAACTTCACAGACTTCAGTGAACTTCCCACATGGCTGATAAAGTAGGTATGGCGGCGGACAGGTCAAGCGCTCACTACCAGCCCATGCTCACCTCAGCCCAGCCGGAGCCCTGCGGTGACGGACACAGTTAGCACTCCTCAGAGGGGTGAACTGCAGATACAGAAGGACTTCTGGATGCTACCATTCTAGGCACTTATTTTTGGTGATGGGAGGGGGTCTCCTGTTTTGAAGGAAGGTGGCTGTGTCACACTTCCTGTCCACTGTGGGATGTTCCCATACATCAGGGGACAAACAGCACTGACAGCAGCTGCAGAACCTCTGAGCGCAGGATAGGGGATGCGCACAGTGCAGTGACCTGCAACCTAAGTCCCCTTCCCAACATAAGCACAGAATCTGTCCTCTCTATTCCAAGAGGAGGACTTTTCAGATGAGTTCAAAGAGAATGAAGAAGCACAACAGCACGTGCAGGGAAACAGCGTCAAGGTCAGATCTTTGAAGAGAGAGCTGATGTTTCTAGACCCAGTCAAATGGTCTGGACAACCAGACACCAAAACAGAGACTCCAAACCCAGGAGCTGGGCATGAGTGACGGAGTGGGGCCCACAGTGACTCCAGACTGATGCTTCTGAAACTACCACCTGAAAGCCTGGAGGAAAAAGTGGGCGCCACATCCTCAGTCCCCCAATCCAGGGAGGGAACACAACCCATGACCACACTGACTACCCCCTGCCACTCTGCCACCAACCCATCAACCAAGCACTCCAAGAGACGACTGTGCCCAAAGCCAGACCGCAAACAATAGGGCGTATCATTGCCACTTTGCGGGACTGGTGCAGTGGGGCTGTCGGCCCCATCCGCAGTGGTGGAAGCTGAGGCTGGTGGCAGCGGAGCAACTCTCTGAAGTCGGGTAGGCCTGTTTTGTCTTTGATTAACAGTCAGTAGAAGGCACAGAACACAGGTTGTGCAGAGTCTGAGTAACCACCACTCCAGACAGAAACAGACCGTTTCATGTACCCTGGGAACTGAAGAACCCCGGTACCACTCAAGTCAGTGTGCTTTCTGACACCACGGATTACATTCCTTTGCAGGGGTTCATGTAAACAGAATTAAACAGTCTGTACTTCTGTTTGGCCTCTTTGCTCTTCGAGATTCATTCAACCCATGTACATATCAGTCTTTCTCTCTTTTGTTCCTAAAAGGAATTCTGTGGTGGGAATGTGTCACTAGTACTTATTCTCCTGTGGACAGACTGGGACTTTGGTGAAGAGAGCTGCTGGGAATGCTTGTGGGCCAGTCTTCTCGCAGACATAGTGTGCATTTCTTCTGAATAAGCAGATACAAAAGGGAAGGCCTCAGGTTCTCAGGGCAGGTGCACAGCCACATACATCCCCAAGAAACTGCCAACTGCTTTTCCACACAGGTTGCCCGTCTGCACCCCCACCAGCTGTGAGTGAGAGTTCACTCTCCTCCCCACTCAGTATCTGGGCATGCACAGTGGGATCCCTCTTGGCTTTGGTCACCTGTCTCTGAAATCCACAGAAAGTCACACCATGTTGGTCTGTGCATATATCTCCTTGTACAAAATCTGTCCAAGACTTCACCCTCCCCTATTTATCTCGTGGTTCATCTTTTTATTGTTGATTTGTCAGAGTTCTCAGGCCTGCTGATCTTTACTTATTCCCCGAGAGACGAGCAGAAATCACTGGATTTGTTTAAGCACCAGTGAGACGTCAAACCCTGGTTGGGGGAGAATGGGTAGCAGAAAGGCGAGGGATGGGAGGGGGAGACTTCCAGAAGCCAACCAGAGAGTCAAAAATCAATCAAAACTGACACAGCCTGGAGAAAAGCCAGCTCTTAAGAACACTAAGATATTTTTCTTTTCAAATAATGAATTGCACCAATCAAGGGAAGTCAGTGTGCATTAAGTTATATTTTTAAATTCCTGTCCAAGTGACAGCTATGTGCGGGGAATGAAGCATGCAGCAGGAGGTGGGGGGAGAGAACACTCACATATCCCCAAGGTCCCAGCCACCCCATCTACGGTCAAGATTCTCTGGGCCGGCTTCTGCCATAGGACTTAGAGCTTCCATTTTTTTTTTAAACGCAATTACTGATTTCTTTATTCTATTTGAGCTGACCCTGGAAAGCACTATCTCACTTCTCCTCCACCACCAAATTGCACACTCCCCTTCTCCCCACTAGGGCATGGCCCCATGTGGCGCGAGTACAGAGCCTTCAGGGGGGCACAGCCAGGTCCCGGGGATGCCAAGCCTGACAACCCAAGATGCGAGGGAGGCGCCCCCCCACTCCAGGCTCGGGCTGACTTTGGGGCCTAGTTTCCCCTGCCTGACCCCCCACCATAAATCAAGGCCTAGAACAGAAGAGGCACTCAGTTAAGACAAGAAGATTATGTTCCTGTCAGAAAATCTACGTCACGGTGGCTTTGTTTCAAGCCCACAGTGTCTTTCCTCTGTGTCACTGCCATCAACATTATCCCGGCAGTAAATTAGAAGGCACTGGGGATGATGGATAGGCTGGGTAGTAATGTAATACGGAGTGAAGGGAGCACCAGCCCCCAACACCAGTCATGGGGAAAGCCTGGAATTTGGTTTCTGGTGCAAGCACATACACAGAATAAATGAGGAAGTCAATGGCAGATTCCAGAAATACACACTTTTAATTATTAAAAAGCTTGCTATTGATCTGCTTTTTCTTCTAGAGGTAAATACCATTACAGCGATTTATAAGTGGAGTGTGGAGTCGCTCCTTAGAAGGCCACCAGGAACTCAGATTAGGGATTCACATCGAACCCTGACAGGGGCATCCACTGGAGCCCAAAGACAAGGACCCAAGCCCTGCTGGCAGCAGGAAGGAAAGGGAGTCCCGCCAACCAACCCCTGCATCCTTGTCCAGGAGGCACCACTTTGGAGAACGTTCTTGACAAGACACAGGAGAGCAATGTGCTCTGTTCATGAGGTTTCCGGTAACAAAGGGTGTTCTGACCAAAAGCAGAAGAGAAAAACACAAAACCTGCATTTCTCAAAGCAAAATATCCCATGACTTGGTAAATAAGCGATGGCTGGGAGTTGCTTACTGGTTGTGGCCCCAACCGAAAGAACAAGTCCCAGATGCGAGCACTAATGCTGCTGGTGGCTTGACTGAAATATCAGAAGCAATTTCTGACTTGCTGACACTCAGGTGAGAGTGAGGCACGAGGGTCTGACTGTGGAATCGGCCATTGTACCTGACAAGTCATCCTGAGGAAACCTGCAGAACCCAGGCTCCCATAGGGCCCTCCTTCCCAGTCTGCTCAGGCCTATCGCGAAGGCCCCCAGCACTTGCCTCGTCCCTGGACAAACTGGGACACAAGCCTAGACTTTCTTGCCCAGGAGTTGCTTAGAGCGCACAGCTGGGGAGCCCAACCCCAGGTCAGAGCCCCGTCTAGTCCCAGGTGCCCTTGAGACTCACTGGGGATCTTAGGTGCTCACCCCCCGCCACCTGACCTTCACAGGGCAGTGGGTTCTCCCAACCAGATTCCCTGGCTTTAGGCCTATTCATCATAGTCCTTCACCCCTGGAGCAGTAAACTAAATGAATTTAGTCTTCCCTTCGTGGGAGGCCCAGACAGTTAATTTATAAACGGGCAGTATCCATTCTCTCAAGGCCATCTGTCCTCGGCTGAGGTCAGGGCTGGAGATGAAGGGTGAAGGAGACAGTGGGAACCCAGTCCCCACTAGGAAGGAGAGGGACCTGCCCCAGGCCTTGGGGTCTTTTGTAGCTTCCCGGAAAGTCTGCAGGAGCTGCCTCTCCATTCTCCATCCCAGGACCCTGAAGAGGGACAACCCACTGGCCATACCTGGCTGAGGTTTAGTTTTGAGTTGGGTTTGGGTTTGGGTTTGGGTTTTGAAGGGGGCAGGAGGGAAAGTCAAGGTCCAACTGGATTGTCCCCTATTCCATCATCCTCCACCAGGGAGAACTGGAGGCTGATTGCCCAGCCAATGGGGACCTTCCCTGGCCTGCCCTTGTTCTAGAACATTCTTAAGGGTTAAAAAGCCAGTTTCCTGAAATGTTTGTGGTCACCTGGGCCTGAGGTTCCAGAAACCCCTTCTGGAGCAGCTCCTACGTACCCGGCTGAACGGGATCCCGTACTTCTTAAGGATGATGGGCGAAATGAGGGTCATCTTGTGCCGCAGGAAGGCGTCGCAACCCTGGGAGCTCCCGGGGAAGAACCCTGGAGAGAAAAAATGGGCATCAGTATAAGGGCAGAGATGGGGCCCGGGCCAGGACAACTCTCCCTGGGCAGCTCTTTCCTCCTATTAGAGACTAGAGCTTAAGTCTGCAGCTCTACGGGAACTAAAATCATGGACCCTATCACACAGCCACATGCCTGCTAGTGACAGCAATGGTGAAACTCCCTGGCCTCCATTTAGTGAAAATGGGACAGAGAACAAGCCAGGCTGTCTGACAGGGCACATACCCATGGCGCGCGCACACAGTCACAGACGGGGCACGAGGCGTGGCACGGCTACACAATGACCTCCCCTCCAAAGGACCAACTGTGCTGCATTCATATGGTTACTCAGCCAAGTGAAAGCATGGCCCAAGGGACAGAACACAGAAGCTAACGTTCTAGAACGAGGCAAGCTGTGATCAGTGAGGAATGAGGGGTGCCCCGCCCTCCCAAAACACACCAAGACTGAGTCTGCAACAAAGAAGGCCACACAAGTGGCCCGGGCTCTGCTCTTGGCTCTTAGCATGTACAGTCCCCATGGCCACCAGGCAGGTGAGGAGACAGAGGCTCCGGCCATCAACCAACCTACCTGAAGCCCCTAGTCCTGTGGGGAAATGGCAGAGCAGCCCAACCTTGGCTGTGTCCACAGCTCAGGTCCCTAACCCACTTACAAAGCTCGCATTTGGGCATGTTTTCTGTCCACGACTATATACCACATAGCTGACTCAAGGTAATATTTGTAAACAAATGGAACTCAGACCATCAGCTCTACCTGCTCAGAAACCGTTTAACTAACACAGTTCAGGGACATTTCCAAAACCACTTGCTAGCTGAACCTCAAATCAAATGATGCCTGCGTCCTATGGCTAAAGAAAAGCAAGTTCTAGAATTCTACTAGAAGGCAGCTGGGCTCCGCATTGCAAACTATCACTGAGAGGTGGCAAAGAAGGGCTCCCATGAGAATTCAGTGAGAGTGAGGTGTGGAATGTGCCCCCCAGCATCCACCGCTCTCCAGGACTGACCCTGTGGCACAGCTGGCCTAAGGACGCTTCTGGATGCTGACCCAGACCACAATACACACTTTCAACGTGTCGCTGGTTCAAGAGGACATACTCCTGTGTGTGCATGCATGTATGTGTGCAAGCACACAGCCCCATGCACACACTGACGTGGGGAGGGTGGGCTTTGCCGCTTTCTGGGCTGGCAGATGGAGCCTGGCTACAAGGACACAATGGCAAGGCTCTGGAAAGTGCAGAAGATTACTGAATCCTGCAACTTTCCTCTGCACTAAAAGCATTTCAATTAGAGTTATGGCTGCCTGCCGCCTGGCCTGCCGGCCTCTCTGCAGTTCCTCTTTTTAATGCACAGTTTAAGTGGCTCTCATTAAAGCTCTAATAAAGGCACACATTTTAAGTGATTAGCACCAATAATGCGCCAACACATTAATGCTCTGTGGGCTCTACAACTCTCCCAGTGAGCCCATTTGGAGTGCAGCTATTCATTTTCCATATTAATCGCAAACTCATTCCACCCATCTCAATAATGGAGTCGGATACGTCTGCCCCCAACAAAGTTTGAAAAGGGCACCAAAGAGGACAGCCTTCTTGTGCCCTGGAACCTTCCTGTCCTTCCTCCTCGGAGCAGGGAGCAGGCCTGTGCGAGGGCCCTAGGGGAAGGCCTGACCACGGCTTCCCTGCTCTCCTCCTGTGCCGACAGCCCAGTTTCTCAAATTCCCGGAGCTGCTCCATCCTGCTGAGGAGTGACTTAGTGAGTCCCTATTTTTCATGAAGCAGTGATGGCCGGCCTCCAGGAGACCTCAGAGCTTGCTCCCTCTTCTTCTTCCAGCCCGGGCCACTAAGCCCCCTACCCACCATACAGCCTCGGCAGTCAGAAACTACACGGGCAGTAGGGCCCTGGCGCAGGGCCGGCGCAGGGAGCATGGCCAAGTCCTGGGGACAGCGGCCGAGGCGCCAGCCAGGGTCTTCAGTGCCCCACAGTGTATCCAGGTTCTTGAGCTTGCACTCAGATCATTCAAAACTCTTCTGGTAGAAAAGGTATATTAAGCGACAACAGTCCGTGTGTGGCTAACTGCTGGGTTTTAGAGAAGTTGTGAGCGATGGTCAGTGATGCCAGCCATGTGATCCCCAGAGCATGCCCATGCTGGCTGCCCAGAGATGCTTTCTCCTGGGGCTCTATAGGTGTGGGTAGCTGAACAGTGGCCACCCGAGATGTCCCTGTCCAAAGCCCTAGAATCTGTGATTATGTTCTCTTCCTTGGCAAAAGGGACTCTGCAGAGGGGATTAAGTTAAGGCCTCTGAGATGTGGATGACCCTGGATTCCCTGGGAGCTCAGTGTCATCACAGGGTCCCCATAAGAGGAGGCAGGAGGGTCAGAGTCAGAGACAGGAGAGGCTGCGCTGCTGGCTGTGGCGATGGAGGAAGGGGCCATGAGCCAGGGGTGCAACGCCTCTAGAAGCTGGAAAAGGGTAGAAACGGTTCTCTCCTGGAAACTGAGGGAGGACCAGCCCTGCCCACACCTGGGTTTTAGCTCTGTAAGGTTCATTTTGGACCTCTGACCTCCAGAATTGTAAGCAAATGAATCTGTAGTTTGTTTGTTTTTTAATGAGAACTTTTTAAAGAGCAGTTTAAGGTTTACAACAAAATTGAGAGAATTTGAGTTGTTTTAAGTCACTGAGTTTATGATAATTTTTAAATACAATGGGAAAATAGTTTAAATTTGGTTTTTATTGTAGAACATAATGAAGTAAGTGAAACAGACCCTGACTAGGGCTGTCTAACTGTGGCACTTGCACCACGTGGCAAAACGTACCACGAGGGCACATTTTGGAGAACAGGGCTCAGCCTGTCCTGTGAGGGTAGGGCTCAGGTTCCTGAGAGAAATGCTAACACCGACGCCCTCCACCCGGGAGGCTGAGAGGTGCCTGCCCCACTCGCCCTTCCTCCATTCTCAGGACCCGTGTCACTGGCGCGTCAGTGGCTAGACCACTAAGACAGAAAGCAGGGTGCCACCTGCTCAGTCCCTTCATCGGAGTCGTCAGGGGCTTCAGCACCATCCAGCCGGATGGCCGGCAGGTCTCTATGCATCCCTCACCAGATACAGCCTGGGAGCACCTCTGACAAATCCACTGGCCCTTTGAGCTAGTGAGGGTCTGAATACAGGCGGTGAGACAGTGGCTGCCGGAAGGGACATTAGATGAGAGAGTCCAAGCAAGTCAAAACCCCACATGAAAAGGGAGGGGCCTGAGGTCACCATGCAGCTCTGAGGCCCCAGTGAGGTTGCTCCTAACTGATTTCTTATTTTCAAGACTGAACAAAGCCTTGAAGACTTAGACAAGGGTGAGATGGAGTGCCAGCTGTTGGCGGGGAGACAGAATGCGGCTGCCCTCCCTGGTCCTCAGGAGCCTGTGATCAGGTCTTAGAACACCTTGCTAGGAAGGAAACCAGAAAACAAGTGTATTTAAAGCGATGGCATTCTGTGCAGAATCCATGAAGTGACAAACCCTAACACAGGGACCACGGAGCTGACCACAAGGATGCAAGAAAATGATAAAATAAGACAGTAGCATCTTGCAGGTCTCTGAAATTGAAACCCAAACAGAACCCAGGAGGGATGACTGCTGCTTCCCCACCGCACCTGCCCCACCTCACCCTGCCCAGGCCCCGGCCCTGGGCCCCGGCCTTTGGCCTCAGACACCTACCAATTGCCAGCCGCTCCAGGCGCTTGCCATGCTCCGGTGGGATGGCGTACCTACAAGAAGGAAGGCATGTCAGAAGCGAGGTCCTGTGGCCACCACACACTTGGGAGTCCTGGGGAAGTGCCTGGCCCCGGGGAGACACACAGCCCCTGTGCAGAGCAGAGGTGACTGCAGCAGGGGTCAGTGCTGCGAGGAGAGTGGGAGGCTGTCAGGGGAGGATTCCCACACAGCAGGGGCTGGTGAGGCGGGGGGGGGGGGGGGCTAAGGACCAGGGGCCCAGCGGGTTGTGACGGCACTCCCAAATGCCAGGAGTGGAGACAGTCCCGGTTAATCTGCACTAAACCTCGATGAGGCTGAAAAAGCAAAATAAAATAAAATAAAATAAAAGCACTGACTGGAGCTGTAGGGGTGGGGCCCCTGGCCGCCTTGTGCCACCAGCCTGTTCTTCCAGTCCCAGGAGCCAAAGGGGAAAGAGCTTCAGGAAGGAGAAAAATTTCATCTGTCACCCACTTCATAAGTTTTATTTTTTCACATTTTACATTTGAAAGATTATGAGGCTCCATCATAAATAAAAAAAGATGTGAGATGGAAGTTTGCAAACAGATGAAGCAAGAGTGACATCCCGATGATGCTGTGAGAGGAAGGTGGCGGGATGGGAGGCTTGGGATGGGAAGGCGGGGGAGGTGCTGAAAAGCCCCAACCCAATTGACGTGCCACCCCCAGCCCACCTCAGGGGACTTGGTAAGATGAAAACCTCAACTTCCAGACAAAGGAAGGCAGCGCAAGCCCTTAATGACACAAAGCACTGAGCACACCCGAGTCCCATCTAGGAGGAATTCCAGGAAAGCAGGTCTCAACCACAGTGATCCTGTTCCCTCTCCAGAGGACACTGGGCCATGTCCCTGTGGTTGTTGCGACTGTGGGTGCTCCTGGCATCTAGTGGTCAGGGGCCAGGGATGCTGCTCAACCCCCCACAGTACCCAGGACAGCCCCCCACAAAGAACGACTGGGCTCTAAATGTCAGTAGTGCTGAGCAGGATAGACCCTGCCCCAAAATAAAAAGGCCACTATCTCACACTCTGGAATGAGTCCAATGTGAGGATGCATCATGGGGGCACTCCCTCCCCGCTCTCTCATGGTGCCAGCAAAGGATGGGTACCCACACGAAACTCAGAAGATCACCCAGCTGGAGCTGGTTAAGTCCATTCCAACTGAGAGGCTTATTATTCCTTTTTCATAAAATAAAAGCGGGGAGGGGGAAGGAGATAAGTTCAGCATCATGTTGTCTCTAATCTAACAGGATACAAATAATTAATTCCTGCGCCCACTCTGGGGCCCTTGAAGAAATGGCCGCAGCCTCTTTGATTATGCTGTTGTCAGAGGATTTTCCATCGTCTGGACAAAGATGAGGTTACTCTTCTTTAAATGGCCTTTTATCACACACAGAGAATAAAAGTTAACCCCAATCCAAAGCACCTTTGTGGGATTATGGTCTCCCAAACAAGGAAATGAAACAGTCTGTCCCTTCTGGGAAGACGCCAGAGGACTGGGAGGACTAACTCACGGCACCAAGGCTCTGATGATTAATGCAGCTTCCCCAGCCTACGATGCCGCTTTCACTTAATTACCGCCTGTAATTGGGAGTTGTAAAGATAAGATTAATTGAATCTGGTGGATGTTAAAAGTTTAATACATTGGAATGTGGCTCCTCTGTTATCGGAAAGTACAGACTGCAGGACACTGGGCTGAGCGTTCAGGAGAGCGGCCCCTGGGGAGATGAGAAAGGACTCAGGGAGGGAAGCCAAAGCCACAGGGGTTCCTGGGCTCCAATGTCCCAGAGTGAGCGGTGCCTCCCACTGCTTGGAACAACCCAGCGACAGCCTCGGTGGTGCCAAGAAGCCCCATCAGCAACAACATTCCACACCAGCCCAAGTCCAGGGATGCGGCAGGAGGAAAACCTCAGGCAAGCACAGCTGGGGCGCGGGTCCTTAGCAACACAGCACTGAAGGCCGGCCGGTCAAAGCAGGAGGGGACAGTAAAGACTCCATCTCAATAGCTATTAGATCGCGCCTGAGTCCTGCCAGCCTTCAACGGCTGGGAGACACTCTGGAACTGTGGGCCCCAGGTTCCCTCTCCCACCAAAGATGGCCCTTTGGGGACCCCAGGTGAGCCTGGTGACATGGGGGCCCCAGAGAGCCAGCTACAGAGCTGGCCTCCCAACAGGGACTGACATTTGCCATTGAAGAAAAGTCCCTGGGACCCTCTTGTGCATGGTACCCTTGTGACAGCCCCACCCAGCATCATGCCACCAGGTCAGGTCATCCCTGACTATCAGGCTTGGCTCTTGGAAGGAAAGAAAAAAAGCAGCAGCCACTGCTGTTGAGCAAGTGTGTTTGCCAACCTCAGGGCAAGGAGCATCTGTCTGGACATTAGTGAGCAAGTTCTTGTGGCCATAAAACAGAGTCAGTATACTGGTCACCAACACAGGGGGAGTTTGCCTTGCTCTCCAGGACATCTGTCCCCATCACAAGGTCACCTCAGGACCAAAACCGATCAGTTTTGACAGCCTGCAACCCCAGGCAGCCTCTTTATGTGCGACAGCCCTCGTCACCTGGGTGCAGAGGCCTGGCCTTTTCTGGGTGCCTGCGTGTCTCAGGACTAACCTGGGGCAAAGTCCTCTGGCCTCTCCCCCTCCTCCAGCTCAGCCCCAGTGCTACTCAGAACCTCCCCGGAGCCCCCAGCCCGCTCTCCACCAGCACAAGCGGTCTTCTCCAGCAGGGTCGGCGTCCCCTCTTGCGCTGCTACACACTGGCCCCTGCGCCTCCTCCAAGGCTGGCCACGTCCCACCCCAGATCCAGTCAACATGCTTCCCCTCTCCCAGGACACAGCAGTATCTCGTGGGCCCCCTGGACAGTAGCTCACTCCAGGCCAGTCGTAGGGCACGGAGGGACTGCAGCCCAGCACGTAAGGCATGGTGAAATGATCTGGAGATGTCTGGAGATAGGAATAGGGCAGAGTGAAAGGAAGAACAGAGCAAGGGGTTTCAGAGGTGGAGGCAGAAATGCGGGGAGGCTGCAAGAGGCTCAGGCCCCCTGTACAGGGTTACCCAGGCTCCTCGGGACACAGCCACAGGCCCTGCCTATGGGAGTCTAGCTCTAAGTCAGTGGGCGGTCACAGCAGGCACCTCCGAGGGGACATGGTGGCCACCACTTGGGACACACAGCAAGTCCTGGCCCTGAGGTTAGCCAGTCCAGAATTGCCCCTCTGGAGCTTTCTCCAGTGCCAGCTCCCGTCCACCAGTGTCTTTGTCTCCATATTTAAAACCCCTCCCTACTTTCTGCTTTTGAAGGTTTTTTACACAAAGTACTTCTAGAACCAGAAAGTCACAGAAAATTTGGTTTCTATCTATAGCTGCATGGTCGAAACAGTATCCTGGCAAACTCTCCAGGTGACTTTGCAGAGGGCTGTAGCAGGACTCGACAGGCTCCGTGACTCTGGTTTAATGTCGTGGAATCACCCACCAAAGGAGCCAAAAAAGACAAACTCGGGCATTGTTTGCCAGACACCCCTGTTGGAAAGGCAGTTGTCGGCAAATGTCAGGGGCTTCGTGAGAAAACAACTTGTTTTTAGACCAGGTATAAGGTCCACAGGATGCAACAGGAGAGACAGAAGCCCAGAATCCAGGCCCTGCCATGGGGACCCATGACATGTGAAAAGCCACATGACGGTTAAGAAACAATTACAGCCCTGGCCGGGTGGCTCAGTTGGTTGGAGCATTGTCCTATGCACCAAAAGGTGTGGGTTCGAGTCCCAGTCAGGGCACATACCTAGGTTGCAGGCTTGATCCCTGGCTGGGGCGTATATGAGAGGTAATGGATTGATGTTTCTGTCTTCCTCTCTCTCTGTCTCCCTCTCTCCTTTTCTCTCTCTCTCGAATCAATAAATATATCCTCAGTGAGGATTAAAAAAACAAACTATAGTCTAGCAGTTTCACAGTTCAAATCATGGGCAGGCCAACAAACGAACTCACCAAAAGGAAGAGCAGGAAGGAGGGAGGGAGGGAGGGGAGAAACACACATCAGGTGGTAGGACAATGAACTGCCAGGCCAAGGTCCAGATGCCACCTCCCAGGGATGGGTCAGCCTGGGAAGATGGGTGCCCCCCAGCTTCTATGCCTCTCCAGGTTACTTTTTTTATACTTCAAGGTATTTGGGATAGTGACTATACCCCTCTCCAATCATGGCCACCTCAAAAAGGCAAAGCTGAAACCCAAAAATCTGCCCACAGGGCAGAGCAGAGGTCTGGGCCCCCAGAGTCTGACCCATTTACTGGGGTTCAGGAACATACTGAAAAGACTGGACACTGTAGAGGACCGTCATTTGGGACAATGTTCCTATTTTAACACTGAGGCGAAAGTGGGGGACATCCCGCCAGGCCCTGCTAAGGTCAGGCCTGCATCCAGGCTGGCGGCCGGGACATACTTCGAGGCCCCGAATCTCAGAGGGCTCCCTCCTGTGTGGGTCACGGCAGTCTCCACTGGACCAATAAAGAAGCTCCAGAGCTTGTGCCACTGGGTGCATTGTGGGGGCTGGGTGGGCAGAGGCCTTGGCCAGGTGGCCAGGGGTTCTCAACACAGCCAGGTGATTCAAAAGATCTGCGTCCTCTGTGGGCAGGGCTGCCAGCCTCAGTGGGGAACAGGCTGCCTCCACTTACCAACACACCCAAGGAAGTCTCCTGTCCGCTGGGGAGGATGCTATTAATAGTGTCATTTTCTCGGTGTTTTGTTTATTCCCCTGGAATGGCTTGATGGATGTGAATAATTATCAGACTATAAAAGCCAGCAAATGTGCTACTTTCTATCGCTCTAAATCATCAAACAAATAAAGTGTGAAACAGCATTTTTGAATATAATTTTCCCCTCTAATGGCTTAGAATTATTATCAAGAACAATGAAAATAAATAAGCAAATGCCTTGTGAGTTAAAAATTAAATGAGTGTGTCAGGAAGAGGAACACAGAGCATCTTGGAGAGCAAGGACCTGCTCAAGGGCCAT